TTACCATTTACCATTTACCATTTAATCTGGCAACCCTGATCAGAAAAGGGGTGAAAGAGGGGCTGGTGAAGTTAGAATAAGGAGGAGTTCAAACTGAATCATTGTATTTCCACTAAATAAATGTAAAGGAAGGATTTAAAAGCATGATGTGTCTACTTTAAGGCCAAGCTTTTACATCCTTTAACCATAAAACACAACCAACTTTAAAATATAAACCTACAGTGACATTTTAGGTTAAATAATATTTGATCATGTATTTTTAAAGGTACATTTCTATGTTTTGTCTAATCTCATTCATTTTTTATACACTTGTTAAGAATGCTTCTTTATTACAAGGACAAGAGCAGCATAYCTTGCATCTACAGTCTATAAAAATATAACAGTCATCAATAAAGTTTTTATTTTCTCCTGATCTAAAATACCTCCTCTCAGTGAAACTGTATGCCTAAAATATAATTTCTGACTGAAAGTAGAAAATGTTGCAGATCTATGGGCATTTTCAACACATTTAACTTCCTAAATTAGATTATTTTTTCTTCTTGTAGCATAAATATAATGAAGCTGAGTAGGCAAGAAATATTTTCATCTTCTGCACTAATGACTTGTAAAGGTTGAAGCTTCATTATTCCTAACTGCTTCTCTGCCAGCATAATGAAAAAAAAAAAAACAATAACGCAGATGGCGGGTCTTACTGGTGTCAGTGGTATCATACTGAGAGTCTTTCTGTAGCTCGTAGACGTCCACCTCCACCCTTGCTTGGGCGGAGCCYTCCATCTGACTGTTGATGTTCTCCCGTGCCAGAGCCAGCGCCAGGCGCTCGCCGCGACCGCACACAGACTGGTCATCCAACAGGGCCGCTGGAGGAAATGAGATGCACAAAGCAGTTTTGTTTTAATTACGCAGACATCACACACAGTACGCACGAGTTCACGAAATAATGAGTCCTCGCRGAATGAACTCAGAAGACTGTGAGTRAATCTGGTGGGAGGGGCACAGTCGTTTCAATTACAGTTTATTTTCCTCTGCACATTTGTTATGTTTCGCAATGTGCTCGGGATGTGCCCCGCCTCTCACACTGCTGGACAGAAGCACCAACTCCMTGTGCCTCGGAAAGGAAAAGCAGGTCACAGAAAACGGATGGATGAACCTTTATTATTTGGTATTTAACTGGCTGAGGATGCACATTTGATTTATGAAAGATAAGGGTATTTCCTTATTATTCACAACTAAAGAACTTCAGCTTTGGGAGTATTTAGAAGTATTTAGATTGGCTTCTTTTTTTAATTTATGCTTGTTTGTAATTAGTTTAAGTTGGTTATATTCACCAACAAAAATATAAAATCATTTCATTTTATTTGCATTATTTTATGTGGTTTAATACTCTTTACTGTTCAGAACAAAATAAATAAATAAATGAAAACATTTGCTACTCAACCCCATAGGAATAAGTGCCCGTCTCCATTACCTMTAATTGAAATATTTGCAGCCAAACTCTAACATAGTTTAGTGGACACACTTGGCTTTAGAGCCAAACAAAGAGGAGAGAAATGTTTGCAAGCTTTGTTGCCAAATGTTTGTGTCCAAGAGGCTAATATCACTAATCTGTATGAAACAAATGTCTAATTTAACACTTTATTTTGAATCAGCTGAAGCTTTAAGGACATGCATTTTACATTTTATCCTTAACACTAGCTTGACTGAAATTTCAAGATCCTGAGGACAAACCCCCTCCTTCTTCTTAGCAAACTGAGGGAAATTAGTGGCCTTTTGTTCGACAAATTCCTGCAGGTAATCCAGACACACCCACCACGCCCACCACGCCTCATGATATTGTCACATTGTTTCTCAAGGGCTCTTGTTTACAAGTTTTTGCTCTGAAAAATGTGGTGTGTTGCTGAAAGGGTTTTTTTCTTTAGTATATTTCATTAAAGTTCATTGTGTGTGTATCAAATAAAGTTTTTAGTACGTTACAAATGTTT